ATTACATTAGCATTCTCATGCCCAGACAAAATCTTAAGATCTAAAATCTTATTATCAAAAATATTTTTGTTAATATTCTTTAAATGCCCCCATCTAATCCTAGAAAATCGTTTTACTTTATATTTTATTATATGCCCCTTTATCTTAAAGTCCAAAACTAATAATCGATGTTGGGTACATAAATTTTCACTCGGAATAACTTTACAATCCTTGCAATCTAATCGATTTAATTTTCTAATAAGAAAATAGTCAACCTGGGTTGTACTATATCCATTTTTATAAATGATGAGATGCTCATTCATTTTTCTTAAATAAAGTATTAGCAATTGGAAAATCATAAGCTAAAAAAAAAAAAAAAAAAAAGGAAAATCATAAGCTAAACAAAAATCCAATATGGTCTTGCCACCTTCATTCGTCCTTGATGTGGGAACCCTTGCCTATTTAACACTGCACCCGGGCGCCGGTGTAGCGGCCCTTGCACACTTGTCACTGTATTCAGGCCATACAGCGCGTCGCTTCTAGGGGACGCCCTAGCATTAACACAATTTTTTAAAGGATTCATGTCATTATTGTTCGACAAGTTTTACGCTGGCTGTCGACTACCTAACGCAACCCTCCACTTTTCTCATCCAGGACTTGGGACCTGGCATCGTATTATTTTTCCTAAAATAATACGATGACATTTATTAATTTCACAAGCTCATAATAAATTTTTTTGCATATTTTTATTCATAAAAAAGAGGAAACATACATTACAGGTTTTTGAAAGAGGGATGCATTAGCATATAATGATATTCTCATATAGCTTCTTTATTGAATGTGATAATGAAAGAACATTGCAATGGTTTCCATTTTCAAGAAGATATAGGACATATTTTTCTCTAGCTTGTCCGAATTTCTTCCCTGTAGTGACGTCCTGAAAACATAATGATTAGCAAAAAAAGTTATCTTGTAGGTTAGTGATTTTATGGATATATAGAAGATTTACTGCTAGATGAGAAAAATGAAGTACATTACTGGGGGTAAGTGTGGAAGAAACATGTAGTACATTACTTTTAATTTTTTATTGTTGGGGCATGATTTGTAGGTTTGGAAAAGGTTGGTTGTGTGGTCAAATGCCTTCTAAATCTAGGAGCCTGAGTGTTAGGAGAATTATTTAAGGTACTAAAAATAGAAGGATTAGAAGTCATACCATTTTGAGCTATAGTATAATTTAGAAGATTTTTTTCAAAGAGTTGATGAAGTTTTTGAGTTTATCAATTTACTTTGGGTTAAACCTTTCTAATTGCACAAGAAAAACTTGCCCTTTTTTGGCGATCTTCTTTATTTCTACCATGATATTGAGGATTTTGTTGAGTTCTCAGTATTTTTTTTTCTTATGTCATTTCTTTTTTTTGTAGTTCCACCATTATTGCCTTTACAATAAGGCTATTATCTTCTTTAGGGGAAGAGTTTGTAGTAAGTCACTTACCTTGTAGTTCAATGGCTA